ATATATATCATACAATTATTTCCATTCTGTTACATGTGGATGTTTACAAATCCGTGTTTGCAAAGACACAAATATAAAAATGTGACAAATAAGGTTTTAAATGTTTGATTATGCACTCATTTGAATATAAGCGCATAATTAATTAACTAAATTGTAACCTGTAACAGCTTAGGGGGGGTAAGTGTTTTATGGCGTTCGCAGCTGCATATGGTCATATGAGCGCGCGGGACACATTAAACTTTTTCTGTTGGTAGGAAATTTTGAATTTTGCCAGGGTGGCGGCCAAAGGCTACTCTTAGCGATTTTAGACCACCAAGGGATCTTTAACATGCGCAACTTCCACACGGGTCCTCCGAGTTTTTTCGCCCTTGTCCGAGAAGGCTATGTGTAGATCGTTCCTAACAGAAGATAAGGGGCGTGGCTGAAAGACAGCGGTAAGAAGGAGCCAAGGAATAGCAGTAGAATTAGTAGAAAGGCTGCAAAAAGAGTCAGGAGCCCAGAGGAGGGGGCAAAAGAGGTCAGGGGCAGAAAGAGGAGACGAAAGCAGACGACAGAACATGGCTAAAGAGCAGGAAAGGAGGTGAAAGGAGACAATTTTAGAGAAGAAAATTTTTCAGCCGCTACCCGGATTCGAACCCGGGACCTTCGAATGAGATGCCAACACCTTAACCTCTCGGCCACGAGAGCCCCCTTCAGTTTCTTTTAAAAAATTGTATTTAACTTATAATAGAAACTACATGTATTATGTATGCAAATAACTCAAATTAATTAGGCGCACAACTAATCAATAACATAGGAATATTAGCCTAGAAGATATCCCGCCCCCTCCCACACCATGAAAATATGCCTTAGAATTGCAATATTGCATTCATTTCTATTTGAGGTGTGTATTTTCTGTAATTCGTCGCCTATCACACGAAAGGGCGTACTCCAGATTTTGGCAGTTTTGAGTTGTTACTACTAGTAGATAGCGCTGCCTCAGATCTATGTTCACACGAAACGGCGTATCCCTAGCTTTAAAATTACAGTACTAGCAGTAAAAAATCCCAAAAACACTCAGCGCCGCCGAATCAGACGAAACGGCGTACACAGGCTTACGCCGTTTCGTGTGCAAAAAATTGATACAAAGTTCGATAATTCTGTTAGCACGAAAGGACGTATACCTTGGATACATCCCTTCGTGTGAGCGACAGGAACACTTTTGTCTTTTTTTCTGGCATAGGCCAAGGCCGTATATCGTAACGAAGTGGCTAGCCGTACTTAAGTACGGCTAGACTGCCAGTCTAGCCGTACTTAGATCTAGGTTTGGCCCAATCGACTCAATCCTGTTAAGTACACAGGTCTCATTAGATCTAGATCTAGTAATTATTCAGGTTCAAATACATGCAAGTCAGTAAGGCACCTTTTGGCTTTGTCTGAAATACAAATACTTTAGGCATTGCAAACTAAAATTTTCATTTACAATTCAGCCATCAATATTAAGTACGGCTAGACTGACAGTCTAGCCGTCCTTAAGTACGGCTAGCCCGGCTGTCTACCTGTACTTAAGTACGGCTAGACAAGAAGTCTAGCTGTACTTAAGTACGGCTAGACTGCCAGTCTAGCCGTACTTATCTTAGGCCCTATTTACATTAGAAAACAGGAGGTTTAAAATACATGCACTGTCATTAAGGAACCTGGTTTTGTCTCAAATACAAATACTTTAGGTACTGCACACTAAAAATGTATATTTACAATTCAGAAGGCCTATTTTTTGTAAATGGTCAGTCTAAGTCTAGCCATCATATTAAGAATAAGTACGGCTAGACTGTAAGTCTAGCCGTACTTAAGTACGGCTAGGCTGCCAGTCTAGCCGTCATTAAGTACGGCTAGCCTCTTCCATAACGTAATATCATAGTAATACTAGGCCCCCCTCTAATGATGCAATAGGCCTGGTACACAACACAGAGTACACGGTTTTTGAGTGAATTTAGTGCTGATATGGACTTTAAGATAAACTGCCTGTATATTCTTCTTGTATTTACAATGTTTTTCAGAATCACAAAGAAGATTACTCTGGTAGATATCCATGGATTTATGCATGTGTAGGCATAGGTCTACTTACTCCTAATAATGATAAAGCAGAAGAACAATGTTATAATTCGTCCTCTATCACACCAAAGGGCGTATCCCTGTTTTCTTACTTTTTCAGGAGAGCGATTTAAAGATTTTCAGACTTTGGTTGCTTCATCCTTTTCCCTTGTCATTTTAGTAAACTGCATCCTACCATCGGGATATTTGGATATTGTGGGCATGATAAGATATCAAACATTGAACAAGATTGATTTTGCAGTGTTTTTTATTATTTCACTGCGAAAATGTGCCGTTTTTGGCATACGCCCTTTCGTGTGATTGTTCAATTTTTCGTCCTGTCCAGAATCAGTGTATACGCCCTGTGTTTTAGTGTCCTCACAATTAATTTCAGTCTTCAGATATTACCTACAGTGTATGTTGTAGCTTTCTGTTCAAGACTGACAGATTTTCAGTGTCACTGCATCTTGCCCTACCACAGTTGTTACAACTCTCACAGTGCATGGGTCTACTTGAGCCATTCAAGTTATCGCTTTTCTCTGAGTTTGAGCAATAATTTGAGTCTGTCAGTTCATAATATGAATCATGACACCCAGACTGGTTCTTGATAATCGGAATTTTTGTTCTAGGCCCTTCCGAACTCTCAAAGCATGACTTATTTTTTATATAATAATGAGAGGAAAATATTACCGTTTTGGTCAATTTGATCGTCCACACCAATAGACAGTATTCAGAAAGAGACAGAGAGAGAGAGAGAAGAGGGGAGGAGTTGATATTGCAAGAACTTCCGGGCGGGTGAGAATAGCCACTTTCTTTTCAAAATTATAAAAAATTCTTTTTTTTTTTTCAAAATGTACAAATATTTTGGAATGTAATCTATCTACAATCTAGAATCTAGATCTAGATTCTAGATCTACAATCTAGATCTAGATTCTAGATCTAGATTCTAGATCTAGATTCTAGATCTAGATCTAGATCTAGATCTAGACTAATACTAGTACTAATATATCTAGATCTAGATCTAGAATCTAGATCTAGATTTCTAGATCTAGATCTAGATAATCTAGGTAAATAACTGCAAACTTTTCAATATTTTCCAGTTCTAGATCTAGATCTATTCATTTATGGTTATTTTTATGTATCATTTGACTAGATTTTAGATTCTAGATCTAGATCTAGATTAGATCTAGATCTAGGTGCAAACATATTTTTTGAGTTTCACCAAAGATTATACATTTTTTATTTTCAAATTGTATCCGCATCTCATCAAAAATTGGCGATTGTTAAGATTCCCGTGTTTAATTCCGATGTGCATTTTTCATACCCTTAGGCAGGCATATTTCGCTTTGGTCCCTAACCCTAGGTTAGGGTTAGGGTTAGGGTTAGGGTTAGGGTTAGGGCCAGGGTTAGGGTTAGGTTTGGGTTAGGGACCAAAGCGAAATATGCCTGAGGGTATGAAAAACGCACATCGGAATTAAATGCGGGAATCTTAACAATCGCCTCAAAATTGTGATAATCGTCCCTTACAGTAACCAAAGTTGAAAAAAACATTACAGATGTATTCTACAAACTAGATTTAGATCTAGATCTAGATATCTAGATCTAGATCTAGATCTAGATCTAGATCTACCACACATACTGAAAATATTGGTATATTATAAGAATATATAATATCATATAATACGTTGATATTTATTTGAATCTGTGGCCCCAAAGACCTTTTAACTGCCCACTAGATCTAGTCATCCTCTCATTCGCTCTCCCGAAAAAAAATTCGTCCAAAAGCCGAAAATAAGGCGCTTTTTCGGTAGATCTAGTTCCCACCCCGCATTTGTTATTCGCCGGTTTTGGCCCCAAGAGTAGGGGGGTTTCAGGGGGGCTTGCCCCCCTGACCTAATAAAAACAAGGTGGGGGGTTTCAGGGGGGCATGCCCCCCTGAATTTTACCAAAATTTAATGTTTTGCAGTTGTTAGGTTTGACATCTTAGCTTGCCGCGAATCAAATGTATATAGATATAGATCTAGATGTAGGTCAGGCTCTATCAAATAAGGGGGGTGGGAACTACCGAAAAAGCGCCGAAAATAATACGTAGCGAATGAGTTAAAAAGACGTCAAGTTCTAATAACATTTAATCTTAAACTTAAGCCTTTGCTAGATCTAAGCCGCCACTTAGGCTAAGCCAAGCTTACAACTTACAACTTACCTCCGGCAATGATTTTCCTGCACTGAGGTTATAGATTTTAACATTGTTCGCATTTGAAACTTGCATCGTTATTCGTAATAAGACAGCAATGTCATGTATGAGTAACTTTCAATCAGAAACAAAATATGTGTACAAGTAAATTTTTAAAGTTTTATCTAACGCATGGCCAACGGCATGGTACGTTGTTTACTTCATGATATTCTAATTCAACGGTAGTTGCTTTTCCTTGGCACTTTAAAAAGACCACATTCATTTCCCGGAACTGCCTTCGAAACAAACTAAGGATTGCCTTATTATTAGCTCGCTCAAATACAAGGGCTAATAACAATATAATAATAACTATTATTATTATTATTATTATTATTATAATTATAATAATAATAATAATAATAATAATAATAATAATAATAATAATAATAATAATAATAATAATAATACTAAGAACTGTAGGCATCTTTGGGGTTGTTATTGTATAATATTGATAAATTGTAGGGATTCGTAATTGAATTTAATTGAAACAAATGAAAATGCACCCAAGAAACTGTGTCTACCAAATGAAGTCTTATCTCCTTCTAAGACTACCAGTGACTAGATCTAGTAGTTACTAGATCTAGGCCTGTGTAGGCTACATATAAATACTAGGCCTACCTACCTCTCCTTCTGCCCCCCCCCCCCCCCCCCCTTCCCTTTCTCTCTCTCTCCCTCCCTCCCCCTATATATATATATATATATATATATATATATATATATATATATATATATATATATATATATATATATAAATATATATATATACCGAGGGGTTTAGAACTAATGGAGCCTCCTCTCTCTCTTCGCGGCGCCGCGAGGAGTACGCCGCGGGGGGGGACAAATAAAGGCCGCGCGTGTGGGCTAAAACACCTAACTGTGGGGTGTCTTAAGAGAATTATAGACACTCTTCGGGGCCGGCCCCCATTGTGCGGATGGCCCGTGTGTTGGTACTGCCTACCAAGACAGAAGAGATGAGTGCTGTGATAGAAGGGGCGGCCTCTGGAATGGGGCAAATTTTAATATGAGAGAGAGAGAGAGAGAGAGAGAGAGAGAGAGAGAGAGAGAAAAGAGAAAATTGATTTCAGACTGGCTTCTCACACGCACGCAGACGGAAAGCCTTTTGTGCCTGGTTAGAGAAGGACAAAGAGGAGGGAGGGGAGAGAGCCTGTGGGTGGCCCACACGCCGGGGGGGGGGAAAGATATCCCGGAAAAAAAAAAAATATTGGTGTAAAAAAAAATTTTTCTCCCCCCTTT